ACCCGCCTTGCTAGCGTAGGTTTGTCAGATCATTGTCGTGGTAGCATACCCGAGAAAACAGGCACTCGATTGAAGCATAGTAGTTGTGCAGTTGTTAAGGAGAATGAGTATCGGGACTTTCTGGAAGGGGACGCCCTAACGGATTCTCGTTGTCTCGCTCGCCTGGCAGCTTCCATCTCTGAAGTCAGTGGTTCCACGGCTACTGACACTGTGCTACACCCTCATTCTCTCACCAGAATAAGAGTTAAGGTTCAGGGAGTGCCTGAGTTGTCGGATGTGATTGCGGAAAGTGAAACATGTAAAGTGAATGGTACATTTGTTGAACCCTCCTGGCACACAGTGCAGGATGGTACTGTCTCACTTTTTATCGCGAACACAAGTAATGCCGATATCCATCTCCAGTCTGGTACCCATGTTGTAGATTTTGCCCATTACTCGTTACCGGTGCGAGTTGTGGATGATGTCTCCATGGATCATACTGTTTGTACACTCACACCAGGAGAACAGGGATCTCAGCCAGAGGTGCAAGCGCAACACCTCAGTCCTACTGATTTTCCTGACTCTGTGGCTCAGCTTTTGAAAATTTTGAACAAGAATAGAGCTGTTGTTGCTCTACCAGGAGAAAAATTAGGTCTCACTCCTCTCATTACACATAAAATTCCCCTTGAACAAGGAACTACGCCTATTTATGTACCAGCTTACCGTCTTCCCCATTCTCAGAGAGCAGAAGCAGATAGACTTGTAGAAGAAATGTTACAGAGTGATGTAATTGAATCGAGTAATTCGCCATGGAACGCTCCATTGATTCTTGTACCAAAGCGAGATGGGACTTGGAGACCTGTAATCGATTATCGCAAGCTTAACAGAGTAACAATACCTGATCGTTTCCCACTTCCAGTTCTAAATGATTTGTTGCAAAGTATTGGTCGAAACAAAGTATTCTCAACGTTAGATTTGTTGCAGGGATTCTGGCAAATCCCCCTTGATGAGGAAAGTAAACAATTGACAGCCTTTAGTACTCCCAATGGTCATTTTCATTTCAAAAGAATGCCGTTTGGTTTGCGTAGTAGTCCAATAACCTTTTCACGGCTCATGACAAATCTATTTCGTAGATTGATAGGAAGTACGCTTCTAGTTTACCTTGATGATCTCATAATCATGTCGCAAGATGTTCAGACTCATTTCCAGAACCTTGAAAAGGTACTTGCAAAGCTCGCTGAAGCTAATTTAAAAATAAAGCTTGCAAAATGTTCATTTTTAAAGCAAAAGATTAATTTCCTAGGTCATACAGTTACACCTTCAGGTATTACATTGAATGAATCAAAAATTATTGCTGCCCGTGATTTTCCAACACCTCGTACCGCAGAAGCCGTAAGACAGTTCACAGGTCTTGTAGGATTTTATCGTTCATTTATTGCTGGATTCTCTATTATAGCCGCTCCGCTTTACAAGTTGCAAAGAAAAGATGAACCCTTTGTTTGGGGAGAGGCCCAGGATCAGTCATTCAAAAAACTCAAAGCAGCCTTGATTTCGTCACCTGTCCTTAGGTATCCAGATTTTTCTAAACCTTTTACGTTGGTTACAGATGCTAGTGACATAGGTCTAGGTGCTGCATTACTTCAAACAGAAGGTCACAGAGATCACGCAATAGCTTATGCTAGCCGTACTTTATCTAAAGAAGAGAAAAATTATAGTGCAACAGAACGAGAAGCCTTGGCAGTTGTTTGGGCACTTAAACATTTCAAGGATACAATTTATAATTACCCAGTTCATGTTCTTACAGATCACCAACCATTAATTCCCTTGTTCAAAAATAAGAATCCAGTTGGAAAGTTTGCTAGATATTTGCTCACAATTCAAGAATTCAATCCCACATTTGGATATATTCCAGGAAAGCAAAATGTTGTAGCCGATGCGTTTTCTCGACACGTAGCTGCGATTCAGTTAAATTACCCAGCATTAGATGCTACAGTAGTAGAAACGGAACAAAGACAAGACCCCATATGGGCACCCGTCATTAAATTTTTGACTAAGCAAGACACTCGCCCGATTCATAAACCGCCAGTACCATTGAAAGAACTAGTTATGTTGGACAATTTACTGTGTAGAGTAGTAAAGCTAGGGACAGCCCCGAGGAAATGTTGTCAGTTAGTTGTTCCAGCTGTCTTGGTACCAACTGTGTTAAAAATTATCCATGATGCTCCTGCAAGTGCACATCCAGGAAAGGATCGTACACTCCAACAAGGTCGATTGAAATATTTTTGGCCAAAAATGGCTAAGGAGATTGCTCATTATGTTGACAGATGTTTAACTTGTTTACAGCACAAGGGACATGTTTCAGGACCTAATCCAATTCAGGTGTACCCAGCAACTAAAGCTCCTTGGGAACGAATATCGATGGACTTATTGACAAATTTTGCGGAAACAGAGAAAGGGAACAAACATTTGCTTGTAATGGTCGATAATTTTTCACGGTTTTGCGAACTAGTTCCTATCCCGAACAAAACAGCAGAAACCATAGCCAGCGCATTCCATGACCAAATAATTTGTAGATATAGTATGCCTAAAGTAATCCTTTCAGATAATGGACCAGAATTCAGTAATAGTATTCTAACTAGCTTGTGTGATTTATATAACATCAAAAAATGTAGCATTATGCCTTATCATCCGGCAAGTAATGGACTAGCTGAACGTACTAACAGGAAAGTGTTAGATGCCTTGAGAGTCACGTTGAATTTTGATAACAACAATTGGGATGATTTTATACCCTTAATTCAGTGTGCTATAAATTCTTCAATTAATGTTTCTACTGGTGACACACCTCACGCTATTCTTTATGGTACAGATAAGATCCTCCCTAATGAATTGATTAACGTACCTCCTACTCCCTTATATAACGTAGATGATTTTGTTCAAGTGAAGCGTAGACAAATGCAACTAGTATTCAAGAAAATACGAGAACAACTGTCCAAAGCAACAGCCGAGTTCACTCTAGCAAGGAATGCACGAGCTAAACCCAGTAAAATAACTATTGGATCTGTAGTAATGATACTTAACCAACACAGGTCTGGTCCTATGTACAAGTTAACTAAGAAATTTTTGGGTCCATATAAGGTAATCGAGCTTATTAAAGGTAACAAATACAGACTTAAGAACTTGTTAACAGGAGAGTATATAAATGAGCATTTAGACCACATGAAGTTAGCTAAAATGACTGTTGACGAGACTGATGAGGAAGATGACAATGAACTTACCCAGACAGATACTCCTACTCGGACACCACCTCCTGTGGTTGACAGACCACTGGATGTTCAGCAACCCCATACTAGCAATTATAATCTTAGATCTAGACCTCTCGTTTCAACCGTGCACTCACCACACGTCCATTGGCTAGATGTTAACGAGGATATCTCTCAAGATGATAGTTTGTCACATGAAATTTCATCTGTTCCGGACCTTCAGTCAGAGCCAGAGTTGTATAGTGCTCTGGATGAGCTAGGTGTAGATATCCGCAGAATTTATAATTGAATGCACTCTACAGTTATTCTGTTTGTTTTGAAAAAAAAAAAAGTAATTTGCAGTATTTCTACCACATGTGTCTTATTATTACCATTATATATAATGTATAGTTTTTCTCAACTTTATTTTGTTATAAATTAGATGCCATTGTTAAGTCTACTACCATTTGTATTTTTACAGTGCTTGTCATAAGAGTTATTATTGTTCTAGCAACCACATTGTGGCCAGTGAATCCTGACTGCTATCACGCAGATGTTAGTCTTCTTGATCCAGGTCTTGTATATGCTTGTAAATATATTGCACATTATATATATTGTACATTGGTCTTGTAAATATATTGTATATTTCGAAAAAAAAAAAAAAGAGAAAAAAAAAAATTATCTATCTTGAAATTCAATTGTGGTTGTTAGGTCAGAACTTTGTTCTATTAATGTAATAATTGTTTAATTTTGTATGGTTTTCAAGCACATGCCATTGACACATGTTAATAATTTTGTTTAGGCAATACCTTGGGTTGTATTGTTCATATCTGATCAGTAGACATACACATGTTCTTAATACTCTGATTTAATCAAAGCATTGTTACCATGATTTTCACCTATTATGATGAATTTTTTTTTTTGGTGCATATATGCCGAGTTGTTTGTATTACGCACACCTGATCTTCTTTCAATGTTTTATTATGCAAATTTCACATGTAAGCCATTATTGTATGCCACCGAGGTCCTTTCAGTATCATTGTAACTATATAGCTAGCCAGAGCTTGTCGACAAGGGACGTCGACTTGGTAGCGTGTCCGAGCGGTGTTATACTCAAATTCTGTCAGTTGAAATGTAACCAATCACAGGCAAGTAGGCCTCTGACGTCATGCCAGACAGAGGAGCATCAAGCATGCTCCCAGCAGCCTCAGTTATCCTCACAGACTCAGAGTAGAAGGACCTCGGCTAGGCAGATATTTACCTTGCTATCTCAGTCAATAAATATATACAGAAGCGACTACTGAGTCTACATTCTACCCGAACAAGGCAAACGAATATATGGCCATCCTCACGTGTTTTCTTAGGTTGAACCTTATCACTGACTTTCTTGGGACCCATGGCGTGATATATAATAATTTCTTTTATGTTCAAAACCCCTCAAAAAACAAAAAACAATTAAATTCTTCACAAAGAATTCATGCGTGATTGTCACTAAGCGGGAGGAACTAGTAAACTGAAGTATGAGCAATCGTGCCACCAGGAACCACACGCTAGGTCGTCCATACGTGTATCAACAAACTACATAACCCGAGGCAAAGCTCATAAGCCAATTCACATTTTACAAAGAAATTTTGATTCACAAAATTACGAAGAACTCATAACCCGAAAAGTTCGTAAATAGGGGGCATTCGTAAACCGAGATATCACTGTACAGTTGAATATTATGAATTTGGCCTTATTGATTATTTTGTTTGGGATCCTAATTATGTTCTATTTTTCCAGGGTCCAATCTCTATTGCTGTATTTGCATTGAGTGGAGAGGTGCAGGCTGTTGTCCAAACGTTCCATTTGTTACGGAAATGTTATCCAGATATTAAGGAGAATGTTACATTTAGTCTTATCTTTCCTCTGAACTCCCCCACATCTCCGCATCTCACTCCCACCGCAGACACTACTCCTTGCGATAAAATATTCTCCGAAATTCAGCAAGCCAATTATGACTTCAAGGGAGTGCAGTACCCAAACAACTTGCTGAGAAATGTTGCTCGTAAAGCTACTAGCACACCTCTGATGATGGTAATTGATATTGATATGACTCCAAGTCTGGGTCTCCATGACTCATTCATATCATATGCTAAGGAGAAAGGCTTATTTGGAGAAAATTCTGGTGAGGAGAAGACAGTGTGGGTTGTGCCAGCCTATGAGATCAAGGAAAATGTGGAGATACCAAAAACAAAGCAGGATCTGCTAAAAATGAAGGAAAATGGTATTGCTAGACCATTTTACCAAGAGCTATGTTTGAAGTGTCAGGTATGTGGTCATGGCACACAACAGTGTTGTGGCAGACATTTTCTGTTTCTACATATTGTCATGTTTCTGTCACAAAAATTTTGGTTTACAAAGAAATTTTATGTAATTGTTTGTCCAGTCTTAAACATTTACATGTTTGAAAGAAATAATTTCCAATTTGATTGTTTAGCATATTGTTCCCTTTACTGGCTAACATGGTTAAAAGCTGAAAAATATAAATTATCAAATATAGTAGGCATCCTGCAGTCTCGGGATGCAGGATGGATATATATTGTACTGTATTATACTGTACTTACATTGATAAAATAGTGTCATTTGAATTAACTTTGAAATAATTCTCTAGCGATACACTGACTATGCAGCTTGGGAGAAGAATAAAGAAGTGAAGGAGGGTCACATAGAGCCACTTTATGAGGTACTCTGGCAAGATCCCTGGGAACCTTTTTACATTGCCAAAACCAGCATTCCACCCTACGATGAAAGATTCAGGCAGTACGGCTTTAATAGAATTAGTCAGGTGGGTATCATTTTATTGTGTTGACACAGTGTTAGCAGTAGAAGGTAAAGCATTGCTGCTTTACCTTCCCTCGGGCAAATCTGGGAAAATGACGACATAATGATGAATCAACATTAAAAATGTTGATCAAAGAGAAAATTGGTTGGAGCCATGAGGAGGATTCAAACCTATGTTCTGGGTACTCCCAATCAGAGGTATTCCTCTGCCTGAATACCCAAAGCATAGGGTTGAATCCGCCTCATGGCTCCTCCTGATTGTCTTGATGATACAGCAAGTTAATATAATTTCATCGTGCAATGTTGATCAAAATTTATTTGAGCATGTTTTTCCCAATGGTACAGTAATTAAATTATGGTATTTAACCTTTCAAATGCACATGTCAATCATGGATGATTGCACCATTTTTTACCCCACTGCACAAGTCAAAGAGGAATAATTTAAAGTACCACATAAGATTTATAAGTCACACAGGGCTCACATTTGCTTCATTGGTAAACAGATGCCATCTTGAAAAAAATCATGGATACCCCTCCTTGGTGTACCGTACCGTACCGTACTGAGAGGGCAACTCCAGGTAGTGCATGCTGGAGGAGCTCATAGCGAAATGTTTATGGAGGAATAAATCATCGGGACGAGTAGGATCAACATGACTGAGAACAAAATACTTAGTCCAAGTAGCAGGACCAAAGCAAGCCTGGAATGTAGTAGATTGGGAAGGAATCGTGCAAGTGCAGAGGTGGCAGCGCCGAGCACCCCCAGTAAGAGAGGGGGTAAAAGGCACAATTGTTACGAGAAACGGGGCCATGCCAGGTGATGAAGTGGTCACCACTGGTGGCTTGGGGCTCACCCTGCCACAGAAGTGGGAGGGGAGCAGAGAGAATCAGAAAAGCAGCTGGGTCAAGGCCCAATGTAGCGGGGGCTACAGAGCCTGGCCTTCCATCACAGTCCGACTTGGGGGCCTGGTCGCCCACTCCATGAGTCTGAGAAGTTAAATGAGGGTCAGAGAAAGGCATAAAAGCAAACAGGTACAAATTTCATCCATGAATAAGACCCAATACTCATCATGGAGCATCAGTTAGAGAATAGAACACCCAATAAGAACACTTGGGGCTCCCCCAGGGGTGCATCGGGAATTTACACCCTGCAATCACCACCTTAAGAATCGTCAGTCCATTGAGATCAGGCTCAGTGACGAAGGCAAAGTTTTGACAATAAAGGCGTCCCCCTCACTTGACAACGTCAGGTACCACAGTTCAACGGGTAAGAGTGTGCGCCTCCCCAAAACCCGGCGTCAAAACAGAAGACATCTGAAAGAATATTTAAGAATGGTAAAAAGTCGGCAGGAAGGGAACAGTCAGAAAGGAGAAGAGATGGGGAGGAAAAATGAAACATGAGGAAGAGCAAAAAGCAACCAGCAAAATTAGTCAAGATAGCAGCCAGAGCATGAGGCTTCAAATGGACAGAGGACATACTATCCCAAAGAGCATCACGCTCTGGCAGCTGCCCACCAAGCCTCATCTTGACGGCAACAGGCTGGAAAGGGAAGGGGACCATTTTGGAAGTTGTCTTGTACATTGTTTCACCTCCAGCCTGTTCATACACCACTTGTGCCCACTTGGTCCTTGGACCACATCCTCACCTTTATTTGGCTTTGTTTAGTGTCCTCTTCTGTATGGGGACTCTTTTTCTAAGGCTATTTTCCTGTTGGCACTTGCCTCCAGTTGTAGAGTTGGAGCTTCATGCTCTTCTCCAGAGGCGTGGTTTTTGATCATTTGGCCCTGGTGGGTGTTACATTCGTCTGCAGCCGCCTCCTACATTTCTGGCCAGGAATGAGTCGGCAGTCTTCCGAGGGTTACCGTGGTTGTAGATGGTTGATTTGGCCTGGGGTGCATTATGTACTGTGTCCAGTGGCGACTCTCCGCCATTACCTTTGTGCCACCAATTCTGCCTCAGTGGAGGCTTTATTGGTTGATCTTGTTTCCCTGTTCCAAGGGAACAAGGAACCAAGGTCATTTACTGAGTCCACCATCTCTAGTGGCTCTGATGGAAACAGAAAACCAGCAGCTTATCAAAGATCCCTCGATTATTCCTAAGGTATTTTTCCAGCTGAATCTTAAGTACTTTCTTGGCATTCATGGGTTCGGTGAGTAGGCAGTTCCATGGGTTTATTACCCTAGGGGTGAAAAGAATCTGTTTTGTGTCCTACATTTTTTGCTTGTTGATCTTGAAATTGTTGTCCCTTGTATGCATTAGGTGTTGGATAGTCACTAAAAACACCTCTGTCCTCCCAAAAATAACAGACAGATGTACATGTTATAAAAAAAATCTGAGTCTTTTCAAGTTATGTATTGATGCAGTAAATCAGGTTGTAAAATTAGTTTGATAAAGTATGCCTTTACATTAGATAAATTACTCTTGAGACTGTAAGATCTGGAGCAGAGATTTAAACAAATTTTCAAATTCCTAGGTGTGTGAGCTGCATGTGGCTGGATACCGGTTCTTGGTACTAAATTCAGCTTTTGTGGTGCATGAGGGTTTCAAGAGCACAGACGGCTTCCATAGTACCAAGGACATGGAGCAGGAGAAAAACCGCATTCTTTTCCGACAGTTTAAAGGGGAGCTGAAAGAAAGGTACCCAGAGTCCTCCAGAAGGTGCTATTAAGTAGTCAGGTTAGATTGACATGGCCAGTTGAGTGTCATTTAAGACGTTGATACATCAGTTGTGTGTGTTGGTTAAGGTGACCTGGATAAGAAACCATTTTAGATATTACAAAAATGTTATGAAACCTAATTATTTTGAGCTTTACAGGTCTTGTTTTAAACAGATTCAAATAAGACCTAATATGTATTTTATATTGTGATACTGTAGTCAATATACTGTGTATATATATATATATAAATTTGTGAAACATGTTCTATATATATTGTATATAATGCAAGGTCATGAAAATGTAATTTTTCTTTGATTCATATATCTTTAAATGTGTATAACTTCAACCTTCAGCTATCTATATCTTGAATTTTTTTTGTAAGTTTGATAGCTTTTGTCAAATCTTTTACAGCCATTTTGTAACCGCATATCCGCACTTATTCTTCAGTACTTGAGCACTTTAATTTATATATTCTCTAAGTACTCGGTCGTCAAAAATGTAAAAATTAATATCCTGTATAACAAACAATGAGACTCCATTCTAACAGTTTGCTGTTGCGGATCTTTTGGTGGACCAGATACTAGCCAATCCTGTCAGGTACTCCGATAAAGCTTAAGAATACTGTACAGTGCTCTCTGACACCTGGATCATATTGTTCCTGACTCATTCCTTACAGTAGGTCTTTATGTATCAGGAAAAACAGCATCAGTTTAATCCTGTGCAATTAACAGTTTAAGCTTAGTAAATTGTTTATAAAATTTAAATTATTGTATTATACATAGTACATTATTGTATTTTACATTGTCCCCTTCTGGACTAATATTTTTTTTTTTTAATCAAAATTTTGAATGAAAATCCAGTGGGCAAATTTGATCCATCATTTAAAAGGATTCCTTACACTGTATTAGTTCAGATTTTCAAGGGAGTACTGTACATAAAAAAAATTTGTCGAGTGGTTTAGGTCGTACTATGAATTATGAACTGCGTTGGGAATGCAATATCAAAAATTTAAGATCTAGCAAAATATTACAAATTTCTTCTCAAGTGGTTTTGGTATCAAAAGTCCCTCAGTTGCTTTCATAGTCGGTGCTTGAGGTCCACCCAAGGCTGCTCACATTACCACGGTAAATACGGATGGAAATAGGGTTATTGATTTATGGAACAAATTGCAGGGTAATACACGAGAGGTTGATGGATCTTATCAAGCATAGGTCAGACATTATATATGTATTAATGAGTTTGGGTGAATATAAATAGGAGCTTCCTTGTATGGGCCATTTAACTTTCTATAGTTTCCTTAACTTTTATTTGACAAGTAACTTTGCAAATGATTTTTGCCATGTATTTAGGGCATAAAAAGAGTGGAAACTATCTAAAGTTGTCTGACTGACTGCTCACTATAAGACAAAAGAACAGAATAGTCCATTCAGATGCAGACAATAATCTCAATAACGTGGCTGAAGATTACATATTCTACCAGCAAATTTGAAAATAAGTGGGTCTGTCCTGGACCATTATCAAGTTGTCTGTTGGAAGAATATATGAAAGTCAATTTATGAGGTAAGAGTGTGAAATGATAGGTAAGTGTGTGAGATGAAAAGTGAAACAATGGTTGAATAGGAGTAAGGTAAAAGTGTAGGAATGGGTTTGAAATATGGACGAAAAAAAATAGAAGTTTGGGAATAAAGTAGAAATATAAAAATAAGGTCAATATATAAGAGAAATATAAATGTAAAGGCGCACAGTTGAAGTATAGGGAAAAAGAAACAGCAAATGGCAGAGGGAATGAGGTGAAATAGACAAAGAGATAGCAACATTAAAGAATGAAAAGAAAGAGAGCCTAGAGGGCCTAAAGCTAAGTCAGATCACATTTGTTAAGAAGGTTAGAGCATTTAAGCATGCACTGTGAAAGGGAAGAGTCGACAGCAACAAAGCCAGGACTAAGATTCACGTTGGGCATGTGGTGTATCGGAGCCAATTCGACAATACATTTGTGAAGAGTAGAAGCACAGATTATTTTATAAAATCAATCTATAGGATGATTAAAAGTCCTTAACATGACAGAAGAGAGCATTCATTGTGTCTGCAGACTTAATATTGTACTTCTTTTATGTTCCTTAAGTGTGTCATTCGTTGTACGGACAGTTTCACTAAAGTATTCGAGAGAACAAGAAGAACAGGAAAGAGAGTTAACACCAGCAGTATTGGAAACATGAGCAGCAGTATGAACCAGATTACTATAGATTGGTTTGCCGAAAGGCGAGTTTTATATTGACAAGACAAAGCAGTGTTTGTGTTGGAAACGGGTATAGGATGGAAAATTTCTTATAGCTTGAGATACGAAGAGAGATTTTAAAATCAAGAAACTGAGGGCCACAGATATGTAGGGGCCCAGAGGAAGAGGGAAGGAAAGGAAATCGTCAGGAGAAAGCACCAAGCCATTATGACTATATAGCACTTGGAAGGGATCAGGATAATGATTTCGGATGAGGGGAAAGAGGAAAAGGAAGACAAGAACACTTTTCTTAACAGAAGGCAAATGGTAGGAAAAGAAATGAATGTACCACTGTGCATATGCTTGCTGTAGACAGAGAAGCCAGACACAGCTCTGAACATGTACATCTAGGAAAGGAAGGAGGGAATTCAATTCCCATCCAACTTTCAAATTAATAAGAGCCAGATTATTAAGAGGAAAAAAAAAAAGCTGGAAGAAGAGTAGTCGTGAGGCTGAAGAATAAAATTATCATCAACATAGCAATTGCAAAGAGAGAGGGATGAGTAGGGAGAAGAACAGTTTCAAAGTACTCCATATTGAGATTGGCAAGAACGGGAGAGAGAAGACAACTCAAGGTGAAACCGAGTGTTTGAGAGAAATTTAGGATATAAAACTCGCCTTTCAACAAACTAACACTTTGTAGTAATCTGGTTCACACTGCTGCTCCTGCTTTCAGTGTTGCTAGTGTTTACTCCATTTCTTGCTCTCATCTTCTCCAACACCTCATTCTCTCTGCCATTTCTTTTCCTATACTTCAACTGCACTCCTTTACTCTTATTTTTCTCTTATACTTAAATTTACCTTATTCATATATTTTTACTTTACTCCCTAACTTGACATTTTTTTTGTCCATATTTCAAACCCATTTCTATATTTTTACCTTATTCCCATTTATCAACCTTCTCACATTTCATCTCACACTCTTGACTTATAAACTGACTTTCTCTGCATTTCTTTCCATCCCTCCCCTCCAATACATGGCTTGATAATGGTCCAGGACGAATAGAAATGTCATTTATTTATTTTCCAAATTTGTGGGTTAAGTCTCTGATCCATTCGATAACTCAGCGCACACATACAACAAGAAAAGGTTACAACATTTCTAGACAACTTGGCAAGGTCCAGGGCAGACCAAAACATCATCACTTTCTTTTCACACATGTGAGTTGAGTTATTAATTTTCATCTGTTAGTGTGACATATTCACTGCAATCCACTCAACATCCTTTGTAAGCAATCCTAGTAATCACTTGTACAGGATGTCAAGTGGATTGCTTTTTTTGTACAGAGTACAGGGATTGGTCACTCACTAATGGATTGAGATAAACTCTTCATTCACTCACTCTCTTTCTGTCACAATTGTATGGTAAGACCATTTGCAAAGTTACTTGTCACAACAGGCCCAGTACAGCCTAACTGTGACCCGGGTGGACCCAGACCCTAGCAGGGCAAGCAGCTAAGGAAATCAACCTTAGAAATAAGTTTTATCATATGGTCCAATAAGCTAAAATAATCATGGCCCCCCAAAAAAAATTATATCATAATTATTGACGCATAACTGGAGTATAACTGGGGAGTTATAACTGGAGTTCTTTTACTTCCTAAGTTATCACATGCTCGACTTGTGATAACTTGGTCCAACAGGCTGTTTCTTGGAGCGGCCCGTAGGCCCACATATCCACTTCCATCTGGTTGGTCCGGCACTTCTTGCAGGAATGTGTCTGTCTCCTGAAGACACGCTTTTCCACTGCAATGTAATTTCATATAAAATGGATGAGAGATACATTCAAGTTGTGTTAAACTGTATTCGTACACAGTTTCAACAAATATTATTTATTTAAAATATAATTACTGTACATAAATATGTGCAAGTAACTTACCTGGTGTATCCCAAAACCTCCAAACATATACTGGTTTTCCCAGACATTGAGGTTAACTTTATGGAGATATTTAATGTGTGTGATATCAAGACAAACTTCTCATTTATCCATTAAGCTGAAGACTAAGACCTCAGTAGCAATTATTACTATTACTGAATATATTACCAATATACAAGACATTCAGATTACCATTTTCTGAAGTGCACTATGCAATGTTTTTCATACCAAAAATATTTGTTAACTTTAGGTTTTCATGGTACATGTTGAATATAATTTATGGATTACTATATAATAGCAATAATTTGTGTATTAAATAAAAGTTTATAATTCGGGTGGGAATTTTTTGTCCATTATTTATTAATGAATGACATGTACAGTAAAATATTTATTTTTTAATTTGTTTTAACTCATTTTGTCAGGGACAGGAAGCCAGAGAATATATATACTTTAAGCTTGTGGCAATGTCCCCCCCAAGGTTCAAATTCTTACCCTCCCCAGGATGAAATTACCCAACAATTGCCTAACTCCTGGGTACCTATTTACGGCTAGGTACACAGATGTTAGGTGCAAGGAAATGTGCCAAACCATTTCTGTCCTGCCCATGAATCAAATCTGGGATCACCAATTGCGAGTAGAGAACCACACCAACAACACTTATGAGATCCTAATATTGGTTACTCATTGGTGGATTGAGATAAACTCTTCACTCTCTCTCTCTATCCCAACTGTATGGTAAGACCATTTGCAAAGTTACTTGTCATAACAGATCCAGTACAGCCTAACTTGTGAATTGTGACCCAGGTGAACCCAGACCCTAGCTGGATAAGCAACTAAGGGAATCGACTCTTAGTAATGCAGTGCCAGTAGAACCTAAAATCTGAGCTGGATAAAATCTCGTGCATATCATATATAAAGAAAAAAGAAACATTTTACAGTATCATATTTTAGTCAGGTCAGGTTAGAATAGGTCAGGTAAGGTTATCTTGAAGAGTATTGATATAGAGTGGTGAACCTTAATGGTTTCGAGATTGATTCCAAGCAAAATGAGGCATTTAAGCACTTTTCCTTACACCTGATGCAAGTGTTCTAGCATAAATAAATACTTGGGAGTTAGGCAACTGTTGTGGGTTGCATCCTGGGAAAGGTAAGTCATTACCTAGGGGACTGTGATATGCCTGACAACCTTCCTGTCTCCCAAAGTAATAAACCATCACCTGGAGCTACTGCCTTAAAATGGTTACCGTAACTGCGTAAAGACATGATGGATGCAGCCTAGACTAGGGGTGTAGTACAGTAATTGTAAGAGATAATACCCATTGTTGGTGACAGGAAGTGTGTGTATTTAGGCTTGTATTGAGGTTCCCCAAGGTCGACCTACTGACCCTTCCAGGATGCAACCCCACAACACTTGCCTAACTTCCAAGTATCTATTTACTGCTAGGTAAACAAGAATTCAACCTGTCTTCAGGATAGCATAGTACTTATTTCACATAATGATCATAGTTCCTTTGCTGCTAATTTTCAGTTTTCCTGTGGTAGATTTACAGTTACTGGCCATCACCAGGCACCAACCCTCCCTCATGTACCATAGTACCCATCCCATCGCTGTAGACACCAGAATAGTCTGTTCGATCAATTTTGAATGATAATTGTAATTTTCCATTCCCACTTCTGGTGTCCTCGCCTAGTTTTGCTTGCCGGGGGAGATGGGGGGGGGGGGGTTGAGCTCTGGCTCTTTGGTCCGGCCTCTCAACTGTCAATCAACTGGTATACAGATTCCTGAGCCTACTAGGCTCTATCATATCTACATTTGAAACTGTATGAAGTCAGCCTCCACCATATTAATGCTTAATGCATTCTATCTGTTAACTACTCGTGTGACACTGAAAAAATTTTTAAAAGTCCCTGTGGCTCACTTGGGTACCAAGTTTCCACCTGTGTCCCCTTGTTTGTGTCCCACCAATGCTAAACAGTTTATCTTTATCTACCCCTGTCAATTCCTCTGAGAATTTTATAGGTAGTGATTATGTCTCCTAATTTTTGTGTCTTCGAGTGTCGTGAGGCTTATACCTCTCAGCTTGTGGACTAGCTTGGTGGCATACCTCTGTACCTTTTCTGACTTTTGTGTTTGACTAGATGTGGACTCTAGGATGGAGCAGCATATTACAGCAGCATATTGGTCTGACATATGAGGTATACAAGGATCTGAATGATTCCTTACACAAGTTTCTGAAGGAGAAATTTGCGTAATATTTTCCAGCCTATTCGAATATCATGGATCAGCTACATCCTATTGAAGGCTCGTAGTTTAGTTCTGAAAAACCTTGGTAGTTCTTGGTAGTAAATTATAATAATTATTCCATGAATTATTATCTGTAAATATTTTTAGATATTTACATCTAGATATACATCTAATAGATATATCTTCTTACATCTAGATATTTCTAGATATTTGGTAATCCCCGTAGTGTAGTGGTTAGACACTCGCCTGGCGCTTCGTGAGCGCTTTGTCCTGGGTTTGTAACCTGGCCGGGGAGGACTGACTGGGGCACAAATCCTTAACAGTAGCCTCTATTAAACTCAACAGTAAAATGGGTACTTGGTTGTTAAATGATTTTTCGCAGGGTCGTATTCCAGGGACCATAGGATTAAGGACTTGCCCGAAATGCTATGCATACTAGTGGTTGTACAAGAATCTAAGAACTCTTGTACAGTATTTATAAATAAAACATTTCATTGGTGCCAAATTATATTACTGGATATATACAATAAGATATGCTCTAAATTTAAGAAAATAGATCGTACATTATGTATTATAGAAAAAGGATAGAGTAGCGAACACTACACTACTGCCCATAGAATGGGTATGGGGACCAATACCTTTCAGAGGATGGGTATAGGAGCCACAACCCCCCCACTGGATGGGAATAGGGACCATAACACCCACAGAATGGGTATTGGGTCCAATACTATGCACTCTGTACCACCACGTGCACCCTGTTCTACCATATGTACCCTGTACCCCCACATGTATGTTTGACCAGACCACACATTAGAAGGTGAAGGGACGACGACGTTTCGGTCCGTCCTGGACCAGTCTCAAGTCGATTCTGCATCCCGCACATGTACTCTGCATCCGCATGTGTACTCTTTACTCCTACATTTACTCTACCACCACGTGCACCCTGTGCTGTGCTAGAATCCCGGTAATACAGTCGGGTTCGTTTTCTACGCGCAATCGAGAATTCCAGGTTCGAATCCCGGGCGGAACAGAAACGGTTGGGCACATTTCCTTTTACCTAGTGCCTCTGTTCACCTAGCAGTGAGTAGATACTCAGGAGTTAGTCAGCTTATTGTGGGGTTGCATCCTGGGCGGGGTCAGTAATTCAGCCTTGGGGGGAAGGGGTCCCTTGGTATTAGTCTAATGTGTATGAATACACTCTGGCTTCCTGTCCCGACAATGAATTATATGTACCCTGTATCACCACATATTCTGTACCACCACATGCACTCTGCACCCCACTCTCAAACAGCCGATGGGTATTTGTTAATACAGTACCGTTTATGTGAAAAAAGTATTAATTAATAATTGCCAGAGCAATCAATTTACAGTTCGTGCATCCTGGGAATGGTCTGTAATTCGGCCTTGTGGAACACAGAGCACCGTGGACAGCACGGAGACCTTGTGGGACCGAGCACAGGGTGCTCCAAATTTAGCTAAATCATTTGCTCGTTACGAGGGAATTGATTACCATCTGTGATTGCCTCTGAGCAGCCTGATGGCAGCATTATTCCCAGAAAAATAAAGAAAAATCTGGTTGACTTGAGGCAACGTTAAGTAATGAATAATAGTTATTCAAATTATTAATTAATTAGGGTTTATAGTTCACCTATGGTGTACATAGCTACCACCTAGGGTTCTTTATTTTAGTATTTTGGATGATTTTAAGGTTTCATAATTAGGACTGTAGTGAAGTCGTCAGCGAAGATGACAGCTGTTGACGGACGAATACTCTTCTGTAAAGAGTAAACTATTTTAGTAAAAAGTTACAAGTCTCCATTCTGTGTCATCTAATGTTTCAACCCATGATTTAAACCGCTATTCTACAGTGCATCCTGTTAAAGGTTAGCACTTAGGAGAAATCTTGGCGCTTCTCAGTAAATTATAATACTCAAATTATTACATTTATATAATGTTTAGCGAAAGCATCATTATTACAATAGTGTAGGCTTTGAAAATCTTAGAGAATGGGTTGTAAGAACAGAAAACTATGTGACGTTAGAATATCTATGGGGCACACTACTGCAAACAAGATGGGATGAATACATTCGTTTGTTTATTTATATATATACAAGAAGGTACATTGGGTTTGTGAGGATATATAGCATTGTGTTACATTCTTGTAAAGCCACTAGTACGCGCAGCGTTTCGGGCAGGACCTTAATCTAAAAAATATTAGGTAGGTAAATTGTAGCAAAATTTTTAAAATGTTAACAGATACATTGTAAGAAAAAATTGAGAGATTAGTATGTATATTAAAGCACCTTTATGCCGTCGTTATAAATGTTCTTCCCTGTTGTCTGGCTGCGGTCGCCCGAGCCTGGGGACGGGAGGGGGAGAGTCAACTTATTACACAGATCACACTAACTATGCATCAATTGAACAAATCCAGAAGGGCCGTGACGAGGATTCCAACCCGCGTCCGGGAGCATCCCAGACACTGCCTTAATCGACTGAGCTACGACAAGGTTAAGAGTTAAAACCGAAGTTCTACCGAACCTATTGGATCCTGCAGCCTCTCCGAGGCACAAACCAGGGTTTTACACAACTCCCCCCTGCACTCGAGCTATGTCAATAGGCCGTTCTCCCTCTTCGCCCATACATCATTACACAGGTAATTATGTAAGGGCGTTTACATTTTGGGTACTCCAAGCTAGGACATCTGTAGTTTGATGTATGGGATTTAGAGTTTAACCAAATCAAACTAGAACCTGCTTACTACGTTACCAGGTATTCCCCAGTATGGAGCGTCGAATTGGCCGACGTCATGAAGGCTGAGAGACTTGAGCTGGGGCCAAGGGGCGAATGGTTGCTCTGATACCTTAAATGCAGGAAGGAACTGGAAGGACAAGGGTGCTGCTTGAAGAGTGAACTGTTGGACGTAATATGGAACTAGAAAGAAACTAGTTTTAAATCTGGTAGGGTCTTTTTTTGGACGGGGAGGGGGTGGGGACTGTAGAGACGCTTTCCCTGAAGACGACGTTTGGGAAAGGAGGAGCGAAAACCTGTACCGACAACTGGTTCTGCTCAGGAGACGACTACTATCACCA